CCTTCTGTCTTAATTTATACTCTACAATTTTGCTGGGTCGAATCCAGCGTATTTTGCGAATAATCTCGCCCTGCAATTTCAATTGAGCATTTACGTTTGAATCTAGGGAACATTCCAGACATCACACGAAATGGTGCTGGAAGAAACAGTTGGTTTACTAGCAGGTTAGGGTTAGGGTATAAGTATGTTTGTAGCTTGGTACCTTTGTTATGAGGGTTAAAAATAATTTATATTTATTTTAAAATAGATCATATGCATTGTCATAAAATTTATTTTGGTTTATTTTTGTATTAAATAAAGTATCCTTGAAAATGTTTTGACATAATATTATATCATATTAAATTCTTGTGCTGCCTTAATGTTTTCCACGTAAAGTCCATTTATCCAACTTTGGCGCTAAATTTTTAGCTCGCTACATTCTTGCCAATGAAAAGAAAGCACAATTCTTCTCACGACACATTGATAGAGCCTTCCAAAAAGCTACACACTGAAAATGGAATTAATTGTAATGACCTCCAACACTCGAAGGAAATTTCCTTTGTGGATTTTGTGAAAAATATCAACCATGATAGTTTTGAAAAACAAGAAGTGCACAGTTATGTAATTGAAATATCCGACTCTTCTTTTTCATCCCCTCCTTATAAATCAAACTCGGATGAATCTCTACTTTCTCCTAAGTCTGTAAAATCTAGACAAATTAAGATAAATGCCTACACTGTAGCTAAAAACGATAGGAAAGCTCTGCCGCCTCAGGGACCCGTATCTCGCTCTCATTTTCTCGAAGATGCAATTGCTTTAACTCTTTATGAAAATTTGAATACGGAAGAGTTTAAATTTATTAATGACCTCAAGATAATGCCAAATCTGCTCACTACCGAGTGTGACGTTTGCAATACAAGTGGGCATCTTTTATTCGAGCTCGAGCGCGATGAATTTTTCAATCATGGTGTAAGCCTTCTTGAATAATTTTATGATCAGAATAATACATCGTTTGAAGTATTGGCTCCAAATATTATTGGTTCTGATTTAAATGCTCTAAGAAGAGATTTCCCTTCCTTTCCTGTTTCTCGATTTTGGGAGGCTTTCAGATTAAGAGCAGAATCAAAACTCACTTGTGAATCTGCACGAGGTAGTATTTCTCTTGCCTTATTTTTGAAGTAAATCTTGCTTGGCCGGACAAGTATACTCCTTCAAACTTGTCAAACTTTTTGCATTACTCTTCTGACGTTAATCCTCTTTACAACTGGCTTCGTAAATGGAAAGCCAGGTCTATGGATTCCAGGACAAAATCCGCTAAATTTAATTATTCGAATAATTGCAGTACTCGACCATCAAAACTCCAAGGTGCTTATTCATTT